TGTTTGTGTGTGTGTTCGTTTCGCAACTCTGCGTTGTTAAATATTTCAAATATTTCGATTGAGGTAAATTTTTTTTTACATAAAATATATAATTATATGTTGGTTGTATATATTTTACATATAATAATTATTTTTTATTTTTTATTTGTTTTATTAATAATTCCCTTTTTATTTTTTTGTATATAGCTAGCTCATATCACGTTTTCGTTATTCAAATCGTTTAAAAGGAAATAAAACCGACGAACTTACAAATTTTCGCGTCGATAAAAATTGATAAAGCAAGTAAGTAATGCAAATTTTCAAATAGTTTTCGTTTTATTTTCCTTTGTTTATTTTTCGGTTATTTATTATTTATTTAATTATATGTAGAAGAACTAAAAAAAAAGAAAAAAAAATATTACGTTAAAACATTAATTAATGTCCACATCGGGATATTAATTATCGATATATTACTATACACGGGATTTTTTTTATTATTATACACTTGGGATTTTTTTTACGTCATCGCAATACAATCGTTACACAATTGATTATAATTTTTGATATTAAATAAAGAAAGCATTTTCTAATCTGCTGTTATAATGAATATGTTAAAATCTGCGTGACCAGTTAATTTACATAATGACTAACATAACCCATGAATGTAAAAATATGTGCGGAGATAATTTTTATTGATTAGAAAAATGGTATTACATGACAAATATGCGAGGAAAATAATTACTGCTATGACAATTTGAATGTAATAACGATTTTTGTTTAAAGAAAAAAAATAATATAGCATGTAAATAAAACATATTAATTATGATATGTTTCAGAAATTCTTTTTTTAAAAAAAAAATAATCAAAGAATTTCTTTTTAAATAAAATATTTAAACTTTTATAAAAATGTATAAATGAAAACCAACTTATCAAAGGTCTTTTAGCACAAACATGTGTGTTACTTTCATTCGAAATCGGTATGTATAGAGGGAAAGCTGACGCGTAAAGCTTACGTATCTGAGATAATGTTAATGAGAAAACGAAAGAAATTTTAAGTGCAATAATTGGTATATATATCTCTCTCGATATTTTAACGGTTTCGTATATATAGGAATCGATAAATGGATCAATTTAGTTTAATGATATTTACGACTTATTTAACACACAATTTTAGAGATTGATATGATTTTCTGGATCCAAAATACATAAATATTTTTAATTATTTCGCGTACACATATATTTTTAAGGGAGATTATCTTAAAAATGGAAATGTTTAATGAGCATATTTTTTTTGAGAAAAGACTTCTGGATTGTGGAATTTTATGATGTATTAAAATTCATTTTTCTTGAAAGCGTGAAAAGCACATACTTTTGTTCATTGAAAAAATTGTGTCATGTCCCTCATGAAATAGATATTGTGTTTTCAAATTTTAGGAAGTATTATTAAATTTGTTTTTTCAATAAAGTTTAATGTTAATTTATCATTATTATTGTTAGATTTTTAAGTTTTAAATAAAACGTCATCAGATGAACTTGTTTTACAAATAAAAAGTACGAACGTTGGTTTGTGATATGTCTGGGATTTCCTCTCAATGTAAAAGTGAGATGTATCGAAAAAAATGCCATCTCATGATCTCGTAATATTTCAGAACTAAGTGTATACTTGTTTAGATGAAAAGGATTTCGAAATTAAATTAATCAGATGAATTCATCCCGACTTTATTTGTTTTGCCAAACACAAATCAATCCGAATATGATTGTTCATTTTTTTACGCAGTCTGAACAATAAAAAGTTATTTAGCATCGCTTTGAGATGATAGCTCCAATAGAAAAATAGTTCTATTGATTTAATTTACGTTGAATTAACGTTACCGAGTTTCATTACACGTTTGAGAACCAAAATATTATTACATATATCGGTTGAATCTGACATGTACTTATATATATATATATTTTTTCTTTTTCTCTCATTCTCTTTTTTTTAAAGAAAAATAAATAAATAAATAAATAGGTGAATGATCGAATGATCAACTATCTTTCTTTATCGCACAGATAAACTCAGAAGTTAAAATTAAAGTTGATGCTTTAAATTCTAAAAATCTGGTAATACAGGTCAATGATAAGAATAAAACGTTACATGTGCACCTTTTAATCAATGAACTTTATTTGGATAAATTTTTAGAGTATTAAAAAAGCAAAGCTTTAAATATTTGTGTAACATCAATCAAATAATCTAAAATTAGATTTTATATAATATATTATAGTACAGGGGGAGATTTTTTCACATGGTTAATGATTGGTTAAAATTTTAACCGACCAATTAATCCATGTGAAAAAAGTGATATTTATTGCCTATATATTATAATATTATTATTGTTTGGCCTGTATGTAAAATCTATATGCACATTAATTTTTATATCATTAATTCATTTTTATTTTTTTCAGCAGTTTTCTCCTTTTTTATTGTAAAGAATCCATATTACATTTTTTTTTTTGCATTATTATATCATTTGTTCTTTTCTTTATATTTGAATAAAAAATAAGTTAATGATCTTTACTCTAACAAAACTTAGATAAGAGTCAAAGTATTTAGATTTATTAATTAATATATGGGAACTTGTCAATAGAAAAAGTAGAAATTTAAAAAAAAAATCATATTTAGTATATAAAATAAAATTTTAATTTTTTTTAAATTTCCTTCCTTTTTATTAACAAGCTTTTATATGTATATTAAAATATTTTACTAAGTTACTATAAATTCTAAAGCATTTTTAAAGTCTACTAATATTTTTCTTCTATTACTTATTTTCCTTCTTCCTCTTTTTTGTTTTTATTATTAAAAATTTATTATATAATAATCTATTATTAATATTATCATATTTTTCTTATCTTTTATATAGGATTTTATATTAAAGATAACACTATTTTTATTGAATTTTAAATAATAATTTCACTTATAATTTCATTCTGCAAAACATTTTTGATGAAAAGCATTTCATATCAACCTTATACAGTGAACTCTTGATATAACGAATTCTAGGATCTGGATATCAACTTCGTTATAAGCTTATAACGAATTTTTTAAAGAATTTAATTGGCTAGTTCACTATAGTAAAGGTAATTTTAATATATTTGATTTAAAAATTCGCTATATCAAGGGTTCGCTATATCAAGGTTTGACTGTATCTTCTTCTTTATCAAAACATTTAAATTTTTGATTATAATAATTTTGATATATTAGTTTTTATAGTTTTATCTTTACTTAATTAAGTAATATTTGGATCGTTTCTATCAATCTTTTAACTTTACTTGGATTATTATTAATATATTTTAATTAAAAATATAATTTTAAACCGCCTTTCTTATTTTGGTAATTATTATGACGATCAATTTCGCACCAATCAAAATTAAGTATTATAGAACCTATATTCACAAAAAAAAAATTACTTCAAATTCCGCTGGACAAGCCAAGAGTAGCAGCTGAACTTCATAAAAGAATCACATAAGGTATTAAATTACGAAATAACACATTGTCTAATTTAATTTTCAAATCTTCTTTTTTAACCTACGAAGACAATTGTAATTGGAACACCGGTATAATAACTTTTATATAATCCTTCATTTAGCGGTTTATCACTGGTTTACTTTCGCCTTCACGAAAGCGTTAAGCCTAGAAAACGCCAAAGTTCTTGTCATCATAGTGACTTCTTATTATTGAGTTAGGTTTATTGCGATGAAATAGAGATGATCCAAACAGTCTCGGTTAGGGAAACCTATCAATAGCATTATATTTGAGGCATCCCTGAGACCTATGACCTTCATTTGTTAAGCAGAGTATATAATGTCATTAATGACATTCACGTTGAAGTAAGTATAAATATATCCATAAAAAATGTCTAACAAATTTATTTCTCAAGATCAATATTATTAATGAAAAGTTGCAATTTCTATAGCAATATAAGGCGGAACTGTCAGCATAAAGCGCGTCCACATCGTTGTGGATTGGGAAATATTTGGTCTTCTGGAGTTGAGGGTGCAGGAGTTCATTTAATTTAGATCCTTTGCATTGCAACATTTACTGATTTTACTATAAATCGGTTAACTTACAATCCAGGCATCGTGTTTGTTGAAAATGAAGGATCATACAGCGTTGCTTTATCAAGAGAGTATGTGTTTTATCTATTACCGACTTTTCTCGTACAATCTTGTAAAACTTTAAACAATTAAAAATATTTATTTTATACTTAGTATTCTGATATAGTGAAATTTTTTTTTTATTAAGTAATTTTCTAGTTCTACAACTCTTATAGTAAAAAATCCATCCCATTTAAATATTCTCCTCATTGACCTAGGACAGTTAGATAACCGACCAATCCTCACCGAGACAATAGTTCCAGAGTTTTAATTGTGCTTCTAGTTCTCCGATAAAATTTTGGTTAGAATATTTTTTTTACAAAATATTCGAAATATTCAACCAATGGATAATAATAAAATGAAGGAAAAAAAAATTAAAGGCTTTGACGATACCGTCGAAAGTCGAAACTATATATTAAAAAGTTAAAAAAAATATATATATCACTAAAAATTTCAATCAAAATACACGAAGATTTGAATTTTTTCGATTTATTGTAATAATAATATGGAAGCGTTTCCCATTACGGATCATATTATTTACTATGCCTCATGACTTGATTTTACTGGAAACGTTCCCATATAGTTCATAATTTAATTTTCATTAACGAAAAATCTTAAAAATAATTCATTTAATTTTCTTTAACGTTAATAAAATACAATAAAAAAAGGAAAACTATTCCGAATAACGCGTCATTTAATTTAAAGGAGTGTTGTTAATAAGGAATTATTTGAAACAGGGAGTTAAATATTTTCGAAATCGACATTTGCTGAATTGGCCGAATCTTCAACAGCAGGCCGGGCCGGATATTCCTCTTGGCCATCAGTGTCCGGATATTCCTCTTGGCCAACAGTGTCCGGCGCTGAATCCAGGATAATCAATCTTCTTGACTCCCCTCCCGGATAAACTCTTTCTTTATGGAGAATTTTACTCCACTTGCTGGATATTCTTGGAAGTTTATCGGATGACAAAAGTCAATAATACTTATAATTATATTTTTATATTTGACCTTGTGTGAAGGTTTATTATTGAGTTTATGCGTCATTATATTTGAACAACGCGCAATTTAAAATTTTTGTGAAATTGAAAGGGTTTAAAGTGTTATTTTTATTATTTTTTTACGATGAAATTTATTTTGTTATAAACGATGAAAGGGTTTTCAAAGGTTCTTTTATAATGAAAATTTTCTATTATTTGTCATAAAAATAATTAATCTGGTTAATTATATGTAACATTGATTTTTTTATTTATTCGATAAAAAAAAACTGGTTTAAATAGTACAATAAAATTTTTGTTGCTTTTTTTATCAAAAAATGAAAATAAAAATCCGTAAAGTTTTCTAATAATAATGAATTGATTCACAAAAGATATGCCGAAAGTAGGTATTCAATTGAAAAAAAAATGAGGGTTCGTTTGATCAAAATAGATTCTTTTTAAGTTCAATGACAAGGTTCTTCATATGGAAGTTGAATAGATATTTTATGATATAGCGACCACCTTTTTAGAATATAAAATTTGTTACAACAGATAAACAAATTGTTGGCTGATTTTATGTTTATTATTTCCCTATTAAGAAATTTTTATGTTATTTAGAATTTAGAACCAAACTGCAATTATTATCGGATAAAAAATTTTCTAAACTTCGGTAAATAATTCGATATTATTTGCAGAGCGAAGAATGTCACACGCATTTTCAAGATTTTTCATGCATCCTTTTGTATTGTTTAATGGTAATATTTAGATGCGGTACACCAAGTAGAAACTGACCGTACGCAACACCTTTTACTATTCCTAAACCTAAATATGATTGGTTCAAAGTGATTATTGTACCTTCGTTCTTATTATAAAAAATAATTTAAAATATTAAAGAATGTTTAAATAATAAATCAATAAAATTTTTTTTTTTAATATAACAATGGTAAATTATAAAGTGAAATTTATTTGAATTTATGTCCAAAACAATGTCAAAATTAATAATTACATTCTATTAAATGCTATTTTATCAACACTATGAAATTAATTACATGGATAGTAATCATTTGACAAAAAGATAAATTTGTGCTTGTCTCTCATTTGAAAGACACGGATTTGTTTGTATCAATCAGAAAATGTCATCTTTTGATGGAATGTTTTCATGGAAAACAGCCGCCGTATGAAACACCAAAATTATTCATGTTCCAAGTATATACTGCATAAGGTTAAGGATCAAATGATATCTTTTTTTATGCATTGAAAGTTTGACATCAAATGTCGTATAATCAAATTTAGTTTAGTAGTGTAGACCACATATAAACAAAATTATACTACGAACATGCGAACATGCGGTATATTAATAGAAGAGCTTGACCATTGAGAAGCATGTTGTATTCAAATTATAATTTTCGGAGCGAAAATTTTCTATATACGTACTCACAATATTTTAATGTTACATTTTTTACAAATTCACTTTATATAAATAAATTGTCGTATATATAATAGAATTTATTAACGGTTTAGTATTTTATTTATTCATTGGATGTGCGAAGATAAACAAATTTAATTTGTTTTACAACAAATTTATATTAGGTGATATCAATGAATCCTTAAAATTTTTATATTCTATTTGTTTGAAGACGCGAATGATAAGAATGATAAACAATAATTAAAATGCATCATCAGTAAACTTAAAAAAAAATGTCGTGTGAAATCTAAATATTGGGCAAATATAATTTCTGTATAAGGAATAGTATTATGAGCCCTTAAAAAAGAACAAATTTATTTCACAGAAGGCTCGAACAATCATAATTGTAATATTATACTCAATGAACCTTAAAAAAAAAAAATGTCAAAATAAAATTAATGACCCCTTAAAAAGTTAAGAATATTCATTATCTTCTCGTGAAAAGTCGCAACAATAAATAAATGTTGAACAAATAATAAATCATAAATTCCATAAAACATTGAATAAAATTAAACAACGAATATTTTAATGATCTTAATGAGCTTATCACGTGAAAAATTAAAGATTCTTCCAAACAAGAATTATATTGAGACAATCAATGGAATTTATTATTTGAAAAACTCCTTAAATAAATCTTTTGTTTCAAATACCTTTCACTCTAAACAAATTATGATAAATTAAGATTACATAAAAGGCTTGATTTATCAGCCTCAAAAAAAAATTTATATCCTTCGTTTTCATTTCATACAGGATTGAATGTTGATATGGTTAATAAAGTTATTTGACAATTCAACATGTTTAATTTATTTAACATATGTAATTTATTTAATATAGTTAATTTGTCATTATATGTATTTCAAAATATATAAATACAGTAACTTAGAATTTATAGCAAAGAAAAGAATTCAATAGGCTATGTGGAATTAACAATTCTCAAAACTCCTAACTAGCTATATGATCAAATCTTTATGAATCTATTTTATTTTATCTTTTATTTCTTATTTCTTTTCTTTCTTATACTTTTATCAATAACACTTTCTATTTTATCTTTTACATTTTTAAGAGTCTGTATGATTTATCAACCTTTGTGAATTATAAATCCTAATAAATCTTTGTGAATCTTTGTGATAATTTATAACCCTTTGTGTTTTGTGAATCCTTGTGATAAATTATAAATCTTAGTAGAATACAGCCTTAATAAGCCTTAGTGATACATCAATCACCTTTGTGAATCTTCATAAAAACTATATAAATCTTAGTAAAACTTAGTGAAATTACTATATAAACTAAAAGAATTACTATTTAAACATTTTGTCTAATTGTAGCAATCTACTAAAATTATACATTAATACTGCAAAATAAAAAAATAATCCACTATAATAAAAATCTATCAAAAAATTTCATAAATTAAAGAAACTGTTTTTCCTTTACTATACTATTATTCTATTATATTCCAAGATGTATTTTATTATTTTATTATTATTATTATTTGGTTTTTTTTATTTTTATTAAAAAAGTGTTAAAATCAGTTTGTAAAAATAAAACTTTTCTAATCTCTAATTATTATAATATAATAAATTCAAGTAATTTCATTATGCAATTTTAAGTTTTTTTAAATAAACTCAAAACTTTATAATGAAAAAATCGCTATTATTGATGATTTTAAAACATATAACCAATTAAATTTTAATATAAATTTAAATTAATAGACCTAATATACAACATAAAAATCAGATCTCAATTAATAATAAAATCAAAATAATCTAATTTTTTTGTTAACTATTATTTGATAATTTTTGCAGATTTGTCATTAAATTTTTTTTTGCTTTAAAGATTATGTAAGTAAATTAGAAAATAATTTATAGTAAACTAGGAAAACAGCTTGACGTTGTTAAGTCTGGAGCTAGGGTCTTAACCAATAAAGAATGATAAATTATGTATTACGTGATTATTTTAAATTTTTAAATTGATCAAAAAATAAATCAATACACATCGCAAAAATACTTATGGAAACATTTGAACTCTGAAGTAAGATACTGATCATTATCTTTATTACACTTCAGCTTTAACAATATAATTTATTTTGAATTTAGCAGTATAGTAATTTATTTGTTTTGTATATTTGAGTTTAATATAAAATGTAAATAAATAACGTGTTATTTTTACTAATTTAGAATTTGTACTGATTGACTCAATTATTAAGTAAGGAGAATGCAGATATTTGAGTCAAATAGCGCATAGAATTATATAGTCCTTCATTACGTTCTAGACTAAATAAGTAAGTGAAAATCCTTACAATTTAAGAAATACTTTTAAAATAATTTGATTTTTTAATTAAATAATTATTATCATTCTTTTAGTATAATTTTTTATATCTTAAATATCTTAAAATGATTTCTATCATTTTATAAAAATATTATTCAATCAAATAATTTTTGTATAATAATCATAAAGATGATAGCTGATTTTGACTAATTTTTAAATTTAAGCTGATTATCTAAAAAAATAATAAATGTTAATGTTTTAACTTTATTTAAGTAATAGAAGTTGATATACAGTGAATTCTTAATATAATGAATTCTAGAATCTGGATATCAACTTCATTATAAGCTTATAACGAATTTTTTAAAGAATTTAATTAGCTAGTTCACTATAGTAAGGTAATTTTAATATATTTGATTTAAAAATTCGCTATATCAAGGGTTCGTTATATTAAGGTTTGACTGTAATATACTTTTTTTATATAGAATATATAAAAAAATCTAACTCTGCTAATCACAAATTTTATGATACAAATAATTATTTATTGCTAAATAATATAAATTTATTTAATAATTTGTAAATATAGTTTTCATTAAAATACTTATAATACTAATTAGTGATATCTAACAAAATTACCTTTCTTAATATGATAAAATTAATAAAACTGAAATGATAAAACTAGTTTTTTATTAATGATGAAACTATTTTACTTAATTGCTAAAATTATATTTAACTTAATTTGAATTACTTGAATTAAAATTATTAAAAAATATAATAATTTTATATTTATTTATATAAAAATATTAAAGAAACAAATCCTTTTGATGAAATTATAATTTTTAAAAAAGAGTTTAGGCAAGTATCACTAACTCTGATAAAAAGAATGCAATAATAATTTTACATCTATTTTTATGTCATAATATGTATATTTTTTCTAATTTAGACTATAGTTTATATGATATAATAGAATTCTAATTTAAAGTTAAGTCTAAAAATAAATTTTGTTTATTTTTTTTTATTTTTATTTTATTTATGAGATATAATAATGATTGTATTATATTATATATACTTATAAAAAGATGTTAGTTTATTATGTAAAACTGGTAATATTATTATAAATTATTTTTTTAAATATTTAAAAAAATTGATTTAAATAAATGCTTCTATATTAATAAAATCATAAATCTCATTTATTTATTAAAGCTAATAAAATTAAATTTTGATTAGAATAAAAAAATTCTAAACTTAGTATATAATATATCATGAGCTTAAAAACTTGAATTATATATTTTTTTCCAAAAAATATTTTTATTTAATTCAAAAAAGTAAAGAATAATTACTTATCTTAAACATATAATTATATAATTATTGCATTCAACTAGAAAAGTTATTTTTCCATTTTTTCTGATAAAATATCATTTTAAATATTTACAAATATTATATATGTATAGTCTTATAATATATAACCAGTTATCTTTATGATTAAAATCTATTCAAGATCCTATATTTAATATCAAAAAAAATGGAATTCATATTTCACTAAATTTAAATTATTATTTATTATTTATACTAAAAATCATTTTTAAGCTAGATCTTTTAATAAAATAATGATCTAAAATACATTTTGTAAAATATTTAGGATAACTTGAAATAATATTTTCTAAGATTAGAACTTTTTTAATTTTAATACAATTATGACTTGAATTTTAATAAAAATATATAGGTTATTTTAAAGAAAAAAGTAAAAAAAAAGGTCAAATATATGATAACAAATAAAAAAAATTCCTGTAATTTATTTTTTATTATAATTTGCTAAGAATAGGATGATCTTGACAATAATGTATTATTTAGATGTATTTATAGTATACTAATATTAGATTAAATATATATTGATGCAGAGAGAAATTACATAAAATATTAATTAATAATTAAAGATATTGCATTAGTATTGATAATTTAATTAAAAAAATTTGTATATTATTAATAAATTTTTATATACTATTTAAAGTTGTATTTGTTATTCTTTTCATGTATTCTATTTGATAAAAATATATTAATTATTTTATTACTTTTTATTTAAAATAGAATGGGATATTAAGAGTAAAAATAATGATAAAAATGATAAAACTATAAAAGAATGAATATAATATGAAAACAATATAATATAATGTATTAACAATGACTTAATTATTATAGTATATAATTTATACAATAAATTTTATATAAATTAAATTAAATAAATTATAAAATTTTATTAAAGTTATTTCTTAATAATAATTTAATTAATATTATCATTTTATAAGTAAATTTATATGTAAAGCTTTTGAAATTTAAATAATATATATTAATAATTGTATAATTGTTACTAATAAAAGTTATTGAATAAAGGTTTGATTTGAATAAAATTTATTGCTAAAAAATCATATTATATTATCAAATTTATATATAAAATTTTATGTTATTGACAATCAGTTTCTTCTAATAAAAAAAATTGATATTGTAATTTATTATAACTTTTGTAAAATTTTATTATATATTATTATGTAGGATTTTCCAATTGACAAATAACTTTGTTTCAATATGGATTTCCAAATATTATTATATTAAAAAAAATTAAATTACTGTATAATAAACAAATTTAAACGTTTTAGGTTCCAAGCATATTGGCTATTATTTTAGGATTTTAATAACACAATTAAAAATTTAAGTTAGATCCAAAAAATGTATATAATGCAAATGTATATAACCAAAACACCATTATGATTTCACATTCTAAAAAGAGAGACACGTTAATATCACAAGTATTTCTTAGTTCAAAAATTAGTCTTGTCGCTTAAATAAAATGTTCCACCAAGACCAAAGAAACTTTCATTAAGAGAACGAATAGTAAAAAAAAATTTATAAATTATTGGTTATAATGAAAGAATTAAATATTGCAACTTGGTGATTTATTTGCAAATATTCCCTTATTTGTTTAATAAATCTGTTTTATTGTGCTTGCCAATCGTAATTACAAAATATGAAAGTTCATTCCTTCTATAGAAACAAAATAAAATTTCTCCAAGATACTATACTATACATCCTGTCGATCATAATCCTGATGGAGAATAATCCCGATAAACCCAAAAACTTGAAACCCAAAAATCAACAGAGTATATTCCGTATGATCGATAAACCTAATAAACAAAAAATCCGAATGGATCCCGACATATATTATATTAGGTTTAAAAATACTATCTCACCGAGTCAGTTATTTAATCATCGGTTCTTATAACTGATTTTTTTTTTCGACACGGGAATTTCTAATTTCTAATTAAAAATATTATTATGTCATTCCGTCTGGCCTATATCTTCCTAAACCGCTAGTATTATGTATCTTATTACTAAATCAATCCTTATTTATATAATGTCTAAACTTAATCTAACTCCTATATGGTTTGATATATGGGAGGTTTGCTAGGAAATGGGGCTCTGAGCATTTTTTATTAAAATTTTAATTTTTATTGCATTTTAATCCAACATTATCAAAAACTAAAATGCAAAGAAAATTAAAATTTTAATAAAAAATGCTCAGAGCCCCATTTTCCTAGCAAACCTCCCATATATCTATATTTGTTCCGCATCTTTCCTCTTGAAATTTACTTTCTAATTTTATGTCTTAGCCAATCCACCAGATATAACTATACCACATAAATAATCTTCTTATTACTTGAAGACGAGCTTTCTGCGTTCTTTTCAGTGACAACAAATAAGAAACAGATCTCTGTATCTGTTATTCCATAATTTTGGTATTGGGTGAAAGATGTTTGAAAACGGTTACAGTCACGTTTGTTTAAGAATCTCGTATCGCAATGCAACTATTAATAGACAGCAATCGATACAATTATTATTAATAGAATTAAACCAATTAATTTCAAGACAAATGAAAAAAAAAATGTTCTACCAGATGATAGATTAATAATTGTCTTCATTTCAGCCATTCAAATAGTCATTCTCCGGAAATGCCAATAACTTCGCTGATTGGAACACATAATTTAAATTACGTTAAATAACCGGAGGGCTTCACTGGCAGTACACCTGTGATACTAATGAAGCTACTTAAGCGGCTGATGACATTTAAATGACAGAGATCAATGACAAGGAATCGGATTCAGCACTGAAAAATAATGAGGTAAAAACTAAGATTATAAAGAAGCTAAACAACCACCGAATATTAATTAATAGATAAATCAGATTTCAAAACTTACTGCCATGCTAATTGGATCATAACATTGTAAACCTTTCCTTATCAGAAAGGGTTAATAATACGTTAGTGAAAATGATGCTACCTAACCCGTATGATAAAAGAACAGAATTGTTAATACGAGAGCAGCATTAATACATTAATGAAGAATAAGGAAAATATAAATATATTTTTTTATATTATCATTTTAAGTCGAATACTTTCACTTGTAAAAACTCGGATCTTACTCGTACCATAAATCGGAAAGCTCAACTTATTTCATCACAATCATCTTATTGATGAATTCCGTGATACTTGATTAATGTAACATCTCATTCAAATAATGCACACATTGAAGTATTTTCTACGATTGATCCTCTTAAATAAATGTTTTCATATCATCAGTCTTTTTAATATCTTTCCAGAATTACATGATGCACGCCTGAATTTCCAACATCATAAGCTTTATGAATTTGACCTAATGAACCATTGAGCTGGTTCATAAGAGATAAATGTTTGTACAATGTGATCTCCTTTGAAAGTTTAGCATCATCATTATGCAAAAGCCATTTTAATGAATTCAGGAACCGTGATGGAAGTATTCTGAACAATACGTGACACTAGAACCACTTCCCGAGCATGCTTATGAAGTTTTGCCAATATAACTATTCCAGTGCAAATTTTACGGTTTCTATATGTCCGGTGTTCGAATTAGCAAATGAATATATGATCTCAGCAAACATTTCATTATATGACCATTCAATGCGATAGAGCATTAATTGATTCCGGCTACAAGTTGGGCTCAATTAAGTTACACGAGAGTTGTTCAAATACGGATAAAAATAATTTGGATAGGTTACACCGATATTATAAACAACTTTCTAAATATTCTCTTTTACCTACGTATAAATTTCACGTCTTCAAGTCCTCATTTATTACTCTTTTTGAACTTCAAATCTTTCTTAACTTCGTGCTGAAAAAAGGTTTAACTGTTTAAGTAAATAAATATATCTAAAGCTGATGGAAAATGGTTATAAAAAAGATTCTGCTTTGATGGTCATTAAGTAAGTTTTCATTTAATTTTATACCGAGTGTTTAATACCAAACGGTATATAATTAGTCTAGAAGAGTACTTGTTTTTTTGTTGTATAATTCTGTGTCCATTTATCATTTTTTGAAGTGAAATTACTTTTTTACTTATCGTTATGATATATTCGTATTCAGAAAATTTTTAGATTTTATATCTAACCAAATTTATTTATTTAAAAAAAATAGGTTATCATCTCAAAGATATAACCTAAAGCTGGTAATCAGCAAATCATCGTTCAAAGCCTTTGGGAATCATTCAACAAGGACTAATGAAACTGAATGCTTTCATAACTTATCGGATACTGCTGGTCAACGGTCAACTGCTGGACTAGAAAAATATTCGACCAACAGTTAAGCATGAGGAGTACTTTTCGGTTAGGGGGGCACCTTCCAAATCTTATGAATTACGTAAAATGAGTTGAGTTTCGTAAAAAAGATCTTTCGCCTCTTCAACTTATAATATTGAAAAACTATAATTTACTTTATTGAGTTTAGAGAAATCTATTGTAAATTTAACTAAAAATATTTAAATAAACTTGAAATTATTAAAAATTAATTTAAGCATTATGAGCTTCTATAAAATTCTTGCTTTCCACTTCTCCTTTTGCACTGAACGATCTAAATCCTTATGAAAATTTCTCAAACACAATGATGTCCTATATTCAAAACATTTCTACCAAAACAATGTTCCGCCTCCGATATAAACAAGAACACGACCACTTGATATCTCCCATAAAAGTATACCTGATTTTATCTTCAGCACCCAATTTAATCTAGATATATCCAAGATTATTTTGTGCTTCTATCTTGTCGAAACATCAACATCCGGGATATGCATTTATGAAGTACAAACTCTTGGCCTTGGATAGAATAACATGTTACCCCGAGTCATCATTGATCCCATGGATCACGTAAAGCCAATGCGGCTATGACAAGTCCCAGATATTCTTCATTCCATCAGTATCCGGATATTCTTCTTGACAGCATTATTCGGGTAGATTCACGGAGAATATTAATCTATCTTTTTGCTCCATTCGCGGATAAATCATGTAACCCAAATGACAAAGTCACTTTTTACATTTTTACTTTTAATAAAATGATTGATATATTGCATGCTTTGATTATTTAATTGAAAAAAAAACTCTGTTACATAAAAGAGCACTGTTTAATCTATAACTTATTTGCAAATTTCGAAACATTGTGAATTTGAAAGGTAATTAACTGAAGTTTATCTTTTGTTATATATAAATGATGAAAGGGGTTTTCAGAGGTTGTTTTATAATGAAAAAATTTTTTTTTATTCAGGACACAATTTCATGTGTAAAACTAAAATCTAAATTTATAAAACCATGATCTTCACCACAAAAAATATTCCTTTCTCACGTAAACCCTATCCCAATATTTGAAAAGGCGAAACTTAAAAATATTGAAACTAGTCAAAAAACTATAATTTACTTTATTGAGTTTAGGTAAGCGTTGCAAGTAAAATCACATGATGGATCATATGATTTACTATATCTCGAAACTTGATCCCATTTCAAAAAGATTTTATGAAAATAATATAATCATAAACTTTAAACAAACAAAAATGTATTTAAGCATTTTCCACCACTTTCAAAACAAGTGAGCTTCCATAAATTCTTGCTTTCCCCTTCTCCTCTCTTCCAAAAGAGTGAATTTTCCCGCCTCGATATAAAAGGAGACGACCACTTGATATCTCCCATACCGATGTTGTAAACTCATCGAGCACACAAACTTTTTGGATCAATATAAGGAGTTTAAAACTATGATTATTTTGCGCTTCTATATTTTCTAAATATCAAGATTATTTTGCGCTTCTATAAGGTCAAAATAATCTGACTACCAAGATTATTTTGCGCTTCTATAAGGTCAAAATAATCTGACTACCAAGATTATTTTGCGCTTCTAAAATAATCAAACTATCAAGATTATTTTGCGCTTCTATAAGGTCAAAATAATCAACCATACATTCCCATCCTGAATGCTATAAAAGCGGGTTCATATTGCCTTTATTCCATTATGAACCCTTTCCATTGTTTGATTCCAACGAATTTGGGGCTTTTGATAGGTTACTGCAGTCATGTTCTTGATGCATCCAAAAACCATATTCTTATGACATAGGTTTATAAATCTTTGAGATGATAACCTATTTTTTTTAAAAAAAAAATAAAAATAAAATTTGGTTAGATATAAAATCCAAGTGAAAAAGGTGAAAGTTATTTTGTATTGTTACGAGTATATCATAAGAAGAATAGTAATTTCACTTCAAAAGCGGGAAATGAACACGGAGTAATTATACAAGCAAGTCACCATTCAAGAGACAAATACTCTTCTAGACTCATAATATATCGTTTGGTATTAAGCATTAAGTATAAAATTAATTGAAAACTTACTTTAGGACTAACAAAGCAGACATTTTTTTAAAGTCATATTCCATCATCTTAGAGCTACGATATATGTTTATTCACTTAAATAGTTTGCAACTTGCAACACGAAGTTAAGAAAAATTGAAAGAAGTTCAAAAAGAGTAAAAAAATGAGGTCTTGAAGACTTGAAATTGATACGTAAGGTAAAAGAGAATATTTAGGAAAAAAAAAAAAAAAAAATTTTTTTGTAACCAAAATATAGAAAAAAAAATTTTTTTTAAGCCCCTAATTTTTTTTTTAGGATGATCAGGGACGGATTATACTGGCCAAACTTAATGTCAACTAGCATTACGATCTTGCAAATCCTAAATCAGGCCAAAATCATTGTCCCTGCCCATGATCAATAATCATGGGCGTCGTATGACTAAATCATTCTTTGCTGGTCACGTATAATTAAAAGGTAATAACCTTCAAGAAAGAAGACCTAAAAGGTATAATAAAAAAAAATTTTTTTTTCTAACGTTCGTGAGAGGAATTTTCTTTATTCATTTTTATTTAATAGAGCCGATGAAAAAAAAATTAGAATTTTATTCTTTTTAAGGCTTGGAGCGAAAAAAATGAACATAACCACCTAAAGTTGGTGTCTTTTTTTAATATCCTTGTGTTACATGATTTATCTTCTTCATATCATTCAAGTTTAGAGGAATTGGAAATGTTGCAAAGTTACATTCAATTTGAATTTATGTTCCGCTCATAGAATGCAAATTATATATTTTTTTTCCAAGTTCAGTACCAATCCACTCATATGTTCCTACCACTTGTATCTATCTCTAATAAAAATGACGTGTGAAATATTTATTAAAAATAATATATGATAAAGATGAAAAAAAGATAATATAACTTAGAACTAATATAACATTACTATCAAATTCAACTTCTGAAGAATCTCTTAGAATTGTTGGCGACCGCAATATCTACGGTATTTTTCGTACCTTCCTCCTATTTATTAAAATAAATTAATAGAATATTAAAAAATTCAAAGGCAGATTAACTACATAAAAGTTTACGTACAAGGATCTTTCTGGCACTTTATTTGTTCCATATATCTTTATAATTTTGCGTTCATACACGAATTGGTAATTCGGTAATTCGGATGGACAAATCGTTAACTTGTGATAATCTTGCTGCCATTGATTTTGTATCTGTCATTGCTTATATGTTTTAACCCTAGAAGTTATGAGAAAATAATTTAATATTTAGAGAAATCAAAAGTCTGCTAAAAGATTCTGTTAAATGATGATTATTAATAATGTTACCTGGACCCACGATACCAGGGATGTACTTCATATTTAATTATTCGTTTTAAATTGTTAACAATATCGCGAGAAATGTGATTAAACTCCAACTTAATAATTATAAGATAAATAAATACGATAATACCAGTTATTTATTTTATTAACTCACCGGTTCCGATTTATTATCAAGGATCATTGGCAGAATTACCAACCAATTGACACATGATAGTAATGAGTCATCATAAGGATGCGAATATTTTTCGACTCAATTCAGGTTGTACCAAATTGACCTTCGCCATGAAGATATTGATTTTATTTGAACAGACAAAATCGTGAGCCATTGCGATGATTGTAGGTAGCATCACCATGATGATATACGCTTGTTCTAAAACAGTCTCGGCTAACGAAGAAACTTAAATTTCGTACTTGAAATTTCCTTAAAACAAGTGTACCAAAACTTTCCTCTGGCCAGGTTTAATCCGTCGAGATTGAACGTCAATGTCGGCTCGACCGAAAAAGATCACTTTTATTTATAAAATTCGTTATCCAAAAGGTTTTTTATGGAACTTTAAATTTTTTAAAATATTGCTTAGCTTCTTTGGTATTAGAAGAGCCAAGACCAGTATTTATTATCAATTTTTGTAAAATATCTTTACCTTGTAATATTTGATCTTCCAATTTTTAGCACCATGGGTCATCTCCTTCTAATTTTCATATTTAGGCATGGTAAAGAATGACACTTCCTTTATCACCCTTGTATACTAATAAAAGTTGTTAAATGATTATTGGATCTCAATGTTATGTATTAGCGTGATTGAATGGTTTCATACCTTTACAATAGGAATGATAAATTCCCATAAGAAACCCGGAATTTTTAGCGAGGGGAAAGAAATGATCCAAGAATAATTCTTTCATATGGCTTCCATCGTGTAACTTGATCATCAGATGACATATCGTGATTTACTTGTTGATGTATATTCTTTTCCTTGCTTCCGTCCAAGGATGTGCTTAATTTGTTGAATCTCTGAGTTATTCATGATCTGAGAGTGGGTACTTTCAAGAATATTTAAAAGTTTTCACCGAAGTGGGATAATTCCATAATTATCACGTTCAACTCGGAAAGTCCAGCGACTGCCAAAGATTTTGCAGAGACTCCTTCGGTAAGGAATAAAGTACAGTCCTTAGCATGTATACCACCACCTGAGTTGTTGGTCAATTTCGAAATACCAGTGATTCTATTAAAAATATATCAGAATCTAATTAGCAAAAAAAATTTTTATCAATTCCCCTACCACCGACAATTTATTTACTTCTTGCTCTTTGCCTTCTTTAATTCTTTCTTTGGTTTATTATTAACTTCATCCAGAATGTGATCAACAATACTGGTGTCAATATAATACGATCAATGTTCTATCTTCTAAAGAATTATGAAACTCAGTCAAAATGCCTTGTGATAATGTAAATTAAAAGTAAAAGGAATAACCCGGTGTATATGCTTACCTATTCATCTTGGATATTTATTTGGGTTTAGGAGACTGACTGTTGGTACCAACGAATATTTCTTAACAGCTTCTGTTACATGAATTAAATCTGATATAAGAAAATCATTTTATTCGTAATACTTGATTCAATAATGCCTTCATATATGGCAATTTCTAATGCTTGAATTCAAACATTCGTTACTATAACATAATGCTGCTTGAGACATTAGTCCAACGGAATAGCATCGAGTTTGAATTATATTTAAATTCATTCCCCTAGTCACATTCAGGATATCGGAATTTTCAAAATTCGAGATAATTTCAATGATGCCTGGTTATTCTCAATGTGGATGACTTTCACAACATTCATGAGTACTGTCGTAGTGATACAACGACTACACATGAAGTCTTTCATTTTATTACAAGCCTTCTAAAAGCCTTGCTTCTATCCCATTTTACATTCCTAGGATTAATCGAAAATTGGGTACTTTAACTCTTCTGTTCCTTCTAAATATATGGAAGAAATCCACATACCTTTTATGCTTCTTTCGATCCAAATTCGACTCTCTCCGAAACGCTTGAATAATAATAATCTATTACATAGTTTATACTTATGCCGGTGGCTTAGAAATTTGTTAACGTTATACGTCTTATTATAAATATTATATATATTGCTAATTCTGCATATTCATTTCTAGGAATCTAGTTTAAAATTTGGGAAATTCATAACTGGAATTTTAAAATAACGCGGAAATTTATCTTAAAATTTGAAATTCACTCTCAAGGCGGTATTGTGTAACTCAAATTATACACGAAGTAACACGAACATCCATATAACTTTTTTTCGCGTCTTTTTCTCTTTTTATAAATTCGACAAGATTCAACATGAGAATATTTTAATCGAACTATATTTACACGTGTATAAATTAGTCAGCCAAGACTCGGTTCTTTGAACAGTTCAATAAAAGTTGTTATCTCACCGAATAACAAGTAAAAAGAACAATATATAAGTCTTTATAAATAGCTTAGTAATTATCATATTAATTAATTGACTTTTTCACACTTGTATAAAAGCATAGGACGAACAGACGGTTCACATCTATCAACGAAAATTTGTATCCTCATGTGCAGACTCCTAAATCACCACCTCTATTTAGCTTCCTTTAATCTCAAAGTTTTCTCGAGCACTACCTTCCCAGATTGAGCGCCAAAAATTTATGATGCTCCAACAGACAATTACAACAAAGTCAACATGCTTATCCTGAAGAATTTATAAACGAAAGGGGCATAGAAGATTTTGCTTATCAAATTTCAGATGCTTATTCCATTAAGGATTTGGATCATATTGTAAATTTTTTGGTAATTTAGTTAACTATATTCAAGCTTTTGTACTATTATAATTGGGCTACAGTTCGATCCTATTCAGAGATATAATGGTGAAGTAGGTTAGGAAAATGATGATTCCTCTTCTTGGAGATGAGATACTTTCAACAAAAGTTGATGAAAAGGCAATGATTGAACAAAAGTTGAAACACCGTCAAAGAACATTACCAATAAATTTATTCAAATGGGAAGAATTGTATCGTTTAAAACCCTCCTACGAGAAATTCAAGCTGAAGAGGAACAACGCAAACAAAAGCAAGGAAACGTGAAATTAGCTTCCATTACTCAACAAACTTGTTGATTCTTTATTTGAAATCATACGGTTGAATGAGTAGTAACCGTAGACGCAGCTTTCGTTAGCGGCTTTACGAGCTTCCATTTCTTGAATTTCATGTAGTAAAAGAGATTTGAGTATCATCTATGCCAACGGTGTTGATGAATGAGTGACGAGACTATAATTTCCCCATGATAATCCATTGTTCTTAGTTTTATTGGACCCTCAAATTCTTCTTGAGGAATCATTGGTCCAAATTTAGCTCGTCTTCTCCTTTCTACTTCTCTTGTTGTTAGTA